TACGAAAACAAACATTGCAAAACCCATGTGTTTCAATCCTTGACCATTTTACATCAACTACGCCAAAGAGGCTTTCGCATATGAAGAAAACAAGAGAGCGCCTAGCTTTTTGCAAGAGTAAGCCCCGTGACGATGGATCATGGGGTGGCTGTATACATCAATACACATATGGTCACCCCCCCCCCCCCCCCCTCCTTAACTCCTCCTAAGCCCAAAACCCAAAACCCTAAACCCTAAACCCTAAACCCTAAACCCTAAACCCTAAACCCTAAACCCTAAACCCTAAACCCTAAACCCTAAACCCTAACCTAGTTGAAGCCCACAAGATGTGACGCGCCGAGGTTACAACACCACCATCTCGGCCAGCGCAGATCCGTGGCCTGTGGGGGGTGGCATTATCGGTTTAGGGTTTAGGGCTTAGGGTTTAGGGTTTAGGGTTTAGGGTCTAGGGTCTAGGGTTTAGGGTTTAGGGTTTAGGGTTTAGGGCTAAGGGTTTAGTGTTTAGGGCTTAGGGACTAGGGTAAAGGATTCACCTGAAGATTCCACCGTTGTTCTATTTGTGTTCTGTCACGGTTTGTTCATGAAGGACTCTGGTACAAGCACAGTAGAGTCCTCATGTATGTTTGGGGTTTATAAAGTTGAGGGCTTACGGCTTAGGGCTTTTTGGCCCCTAAACCCTAAGCCCTAAACCCTAAGCCCTAAACCCTAAACCCTATACCCAGACCCTAACACCCTCAATACATCATGAGGTCGAGACGTTGCAGTGCCCCACGCCTCAAAACCCCCCAACGCGAACTGTACCTACTGTTGGTCAGCAGGGAATGACGAGTTAGGGCCCTATATATGTACATATATATGTATATATATATACATATATATATATACCCTTTAAGGGATTATATGCGGCGCCTCCGACCCGAAAGCTGCTCAACCCGTTCTCGTGCAGAGCGAGAGTGCCAGCGACTCCGCAAACAGCTGGAGCAGCTTAAGCAGGAGAACCAGCTCCTGATCAGCCAGCTGGAGAACCTGCAGCGCCAGGTGCAGGCCTTCAAGAAGGAGGCGGAGGAAAGAGAGGCGGAGGCCCGTTGTTTCGAAAGTAGTACCCCCGCGCGACCACTTCTCTTCTTCCCAATCCACCCATGCAAACCCTGCAAGGAAGCCCCGGGTGTGGGCGCAGGGGTCGAAGATCGTTTGCTTGGGACGCATGTTGGAGCTCCCAAGGCTGCCCCACACTTCAGGGTTTCGGTTTAGGGTTTAGGGCTCAGGGGCTAGGGTTTAGGGGTGCAAGCCTTTATCCCTAGTCCGAAGAAGACCCAAAATTCTTGAGCCCCTGACAATCCCGCAAAAAAAAAAACTAGAGCTCACAATCCCTCTAGTGCCCTACATACAGCAACCTTTAAAGCTCTAAAGCCCTCAACCCTAAACCCTGAACCCTGAGCCCTAAACCCTAAGCCCTCAACCCTAAACCCTAAACCCTGGCCTGGTGCCCTGAGGCCCAAGCCTTCAGGGTTTAGGGTTTGGGGTTAAGATGTTCCCCACTTATACTACCCTTATACTAACAGTCCTTAGTAGGGGGTTCTAATGGGGGGGGGAGTACTCTAATCCCTTTTAAGGACTGTCCCAAGCTTAGGGAGAAAAACCCTAAGCCCTGAGCCCTAAGCCCTAAGCCCTATACCCTATATGCCCTAAGCCCGAAGCCCTGAGCCCTATAAGCCCTGAGCCCTGAGCCCTAAGCCCTGAGCCCTAAGCCCGAAGCCCTAAACCCTAAACCCTAAGCCCTAAACCCTAAACCCTAAACCCTAAACCCTAAACCCTAAACCCTAAGCCCTAAGCCCTAAAACTTGGGAAAGCCTCAGGAAAGCAGCCGATGGCCCGCAGCCCTTTCTCTTTTCCAAGAGATGCAAGAGCGCGCCACGGCGTAACTCGCGGTTTCAAGGATTTGGGGCTTTTGGGGTTTGGGGCTTAGGGTTATCAGGTTATAGTGTTCAGGGATTTAGGGCTTTTGGGGGTTTGGGGTTTAGGGTTATCAGGTTATAGTGTTCAGGGGTCTAGGGTTCAAGGATTTAGGGTTTCAGGGTCTTAAGGTATAGGTGTCGAGAATCTTACGTAACCGCGAACGGATTGTCCGGATCCGTAAACCCATTAACCCTCTGGAAGGGGTCAAAGTTTAGGTCTAAGTTTTGGGCAGGGTTCAGAGTTTTGGGCTTAACATCTGTGGTTCGGAATTTGGGGTTTCCAGTCTGGGGTGCAGTTCCAGGCCCACAGCCCTAAACTTCTGCCCTTAGGCTCAATTACCCCAAAAACAAGAAGGCCTTTGGGCCCAAAAACCTTAAATGAGAATCCTTATAGAGACTTAGGGCTGGACTCAATTAAGGAATCAGGGATTTAGGGCCCTTACGTGCCCCCCCCACCAAAGAACCCTTCAAGGGTTCTTTGGGTTATTTGTATAAGGCACCATAAGACCCTGGAACCTAAGCATCCTAGGACTGTGTTGTTGAAGGACGCTGCAAACCGTCGAAAAATCTAAAACCCCCGGCCGCACAAGCCCGAGGATTTAGGGCTTAGGTTTAGGGTCTAGGGTCTAGGGTCTAGGGTTTAGGGTTTAGGGTTTAGGGTTTAGGGTTTAGGGTTTAGGGTTTAGGGTTTAGGGTTTAGGGCTTAGGGTTTAGGGTTTAGGGCTTAGGGCTTAGGGCTTAGGGCTTAGGGTTTAGGGCCCTGACCCTGACCCTAGCAAGCCAAGCCCTGGCTTGAGATCGTTAGCATCGATAGATAGGAGTCCTAAACCCCCATGCCCGGAAGAGGTTCAGGGCTCAGGATCGGATAGGACTTTTACCCCTGAACCCTAAACCCTAAACCCTAAACCCTGAACCCTGAACCCTAAACCCTAAACCCTAAACCCCCCCTAAACACAAGCCGAGACCCTGTTGCCGGCTGCAAGGCGCAACCCAGCCCACGGTTGTTACCTACAACGCCGCCGCTTGGTCAGCACAGGGGATGCGGATGGGCTTGGGTTTAAGGTTTAAGGTTTAAGGTTTCAGGTTTCAGGTTTAAGGCTTAAGGTTCAAGGTTTAAAGGTTAGGAGTTAACATTTACAGAGTAGCTGGGGGGGGCAAAAGTTGATATACGTGCAGGGGCCTTCCGTGTGATGTGCGAGTCGTACTTCGGGGACCAAACTCAGACGACATTACGAGCATATAGCCCCCTACGACTATAGAATTTGCTGCAGCTCAAACCCCATACCCTGCAACGCCCCAAATCCATAGGAACTCCAAGCAGCGCACCTTTAAACCCTACCGTGTTCTGGTGGGCCTTGGTCTAAAGTATGGTTCTCGTTTTAGCAATCACCTCAGAGATTGGCGGTTTATGGGTTTAGGGCTTATAGGGCTTAGGCTTAGGGCTGCGCATGTGGGGGTGGGTGGGGGGGGGGGCTCGTCTACCATAAACCCTTTTGGGATAGACCATAAAGAGGTGAAGCCTGAGGGATTGAGGGCTTGGGTTGTCAGAAACCTTTCAGAGAGAGCACTTGTGTACCAAAACCCGAAACCCTAAACGCTACGAACCCTAAACCCTTCGAACGCCCCAGACTCGAATTCCCCCCTCGCGGAACGGACCGAACCTGGTACCGCTTGGGGGGGGGGGGGCTTCATCGCAGGCTTCCGCCAGGTAAAGCCCTACCCCGGGGGGCCCGGGCCCCAAGCCCCCCTGTCCCCGGGTGCAGAGCCCCCAGGGTTGAGAGTGGAGGATTCTATGAAACCCGCTAAACTCCAAGTCCTAAGTCCTAAACCCTAAACCCTAAACCCCAAACCCCAAACCCTAAACCCTAAACCCTAAACCCTAAACCCTAAACCCTGTGGTTTAGGGCATCCCTTCCCTCCCCAGGTCATCGTTGCTCTTCTGACTGCTGGTGGGGACAAGGCGGACTTAGCCGAAGCCATCTTCGCCGCGCGCCTGGAGTCGTTTGGGGTTCAGGGTTTAGGGTTTAAGGCTAGGGTTTGGGGTTTAGGGTTTGGGGTTTAGGGTTTACGGTTTAGAGTTTATAGCGTTTAATCCCGAAACTCTGAACAGGAGTATGTTTGAACACAATGAATGTTATCTCTTTTTTTAATATAATTTTAGTCCGTATGAAATCCTTATAGATCCATTTATAGATCCATCAAAGTGTAAATTGTTATGGGGCCCCCCAACCCACCCCAGTAAGCCCTACACGTTTCAGGCGCTTAGGGGCTTAAGGTTTTACAGTTTGGATGTAGGGCTTTCTGTCCTCTTCGTTGTTGTTGGGTGTTTATGTGTCGGGGCCTAGTTGGGGTTTAGGATTGGAGGGTGAGGCTTCTTGCACAGGGTAAAACTCTGAATCCCAAGTCCTAAAACCTGAACCCGGAAACCCCCGCAAAACGAAAAAAAACAAACCGACCCTAACGACCCCAAGACCTTACTTAGAAGCTCTTTTAGCTACCTAGGTCTACACCCTAGAAACCCCATGAGAATCCCCGTAACCCACCGTACTAACTCTAGTTGCTATGTCAAAAGGGCTGCCAAGTAGCCCTAAACCCTAAGCCCTAAGCCCTAAACCCCAAAACCCAAACCCCAAACCCGAAACCCCAAACCCCGCTGGGGTTTTTGATCCTTTCAACTTTAGCCCTTAAACCCTTCAAACCCTTGAGGGTTTTAGGTTTTAGGGTTTAGGCTTTAGGGTTTGGGGTTTAGGGTTTAGGGTTTGGGGCTTGGCGTTACCCTTAAACCACAGCCGTGGTCAGGTTTTTGGACATCTAGGATACCCCTAAACCCTAAACCCTAAACCCTAAACCCTAAACCCCCTCGATTTTTGTTGACCCCCTCTGTAGGCTCAAGTGCGGGCTGGCCAAAGCGTGCTGATCTCTCCAGGGGGCGTACGCTAAACCCTAAACCCTGAACCCTGAACTCTAAACCCTAAACCCTGAACCCTAAAACCTAAACCCTGAACCCTATAACCCTAACACCCCGAAGATCGATCCCAGAATGCCATGTGCGAAGTAGCTCGGGCTTCCTCGCCGTCGCCAATTGTTTCGCTGAACCGGCGCCTCGCACAGTGCAAGGAGAAGTTGTGGGGCTTAAGGGTTTCAGGGTTGTGTTAGGGTGTCAGGGCTTAGGGCTTAGGGCTTAGGGCTTAGGGCTTAGGGCTTAGGGCTTAGGATTATGAGGTTATGGGGTTTAGGGTTTAGGGTTCCGGCTTGGAAGTTTAGGGTTCAGGGTTCTAGGGTTTTGGGTTATGGGGTTCAGACTTGTAGACATAGAGTAGGGCTTAGGAATTAGAGACATAGAGTAGGGTTTCAGGGTTCAGGGTTCTAGGGTCTAGGGTCTAGGGTTTAGGGTTTAGGGTTTAGGGTTTAGGACGACCCCAACTCCCCACAGGCTTTGAGGGGGTTAAGGAACTGGGGCTCAGGCCTGCGAACCTGCCGCCCACTTCCACAGGTCACCCCCTCGCAATGCAAGGCCGTATAAGGGCTTCATGTCCACTAAACCCTAAACCCTAAACCCTAAACCCTAAACCCTAAACCCTAAACCTTAAGTTCCCTAAAACCTAAACCCTAAGACCGCCAGTGATTCCGGTTAAAAAAAAAAAACCCAAAGACCCTGGCACCCCAAGAGCTCCAAGGCCTAAACTCTCCTAAGCCCTAAACCTCTCTAGCATATAGAACTGTAGACCCGAATGATCTTCGTGGGCACGGCCCGAATCTTCATGGACAAGGCCCGGGGCCCATTTAATGCCCGGGGAAAGGCCCGAATCTTGGTGGGCAAGGCTCGTGGCAAGGCCCGAATCTCTCGTTGGCAAGGCCCAAATCTTCGCGGGCAAAGCCCGAATCTTCGTGGGCAAGCCTCGGTAAAAGCTCTAAGGCTTGGGTTTAGGGCCCTCAGGTATGAAGCCTAGGTTTATGAATTGAGTAAACTGACTATTGTCTTAATATCATGGGATTCTCTGGGCGGGTGGGTCGTCTTCTACAGCTCGAAAATTGCTTGACTAGAAAAAACTAGAACATGAAATGGTAAACCCTCCCTGCACCCTTTAAGAAGGGGATTCCAGAGCTCGCTAAGACCCCACATCCCTCAGCTCTCTAAACCCCCACCCTCAACCCTCAACCCCCTAAACCCTAAGCCCTAAACCCTAAACCCTAAACCCTAAACCCTAAACCCTAATTACCCTAAACCCTAAACTCAACGGGATACAGAGCTCTCAGCGCAGGATGAGCACCGGTGGCCCGAGGCACTGGCACTGCTGCGCCAGTCCCGCAGGACGTCTGGGGTTGGGGGTTTAGGGTTTTGGGTTTTGGGTTTAGTTTAGGGTTTTGGGTTTTGGCTTTTTGGGTTTTTGGGTTTTCGGGTTTTGGGTTTAGGGTTTCGGGTTTAGGGTTTAGGGTTTGAAGGTAAGGGGTTCAGGGGTTAGGGTTTCAAAGGTCTTAGAAAGGTTTCAGTGCTTATAAGGTTTCATACGGGGGAGGTTTGCAGGGTTCAGGGTATAGGAATTGACGCGTTTGGGGTTTATGGGGTTCATCGGGTTTAGAGATTCTCGGGCATGGGGTATTTAGAGAATAAGGGGTATTCAGGGTTCAAGGCTTTGGGTTGGGGCATTTTGAGGTTTAGAGGTATTTCGGGTTTAGGTTTTAGGGGGTTTGGTTCGGATCGAACCCCTAAACCCACATTTTCCCACCGCGCCCCTTCAATCACAACACCTACCCCCCCCCCCCCCCAAGCCCTAAAATAAACCTTAGAGTTCAGGGTTCAGGGTTCAGGGCTTATATAGCGCGTAGAGTTTGGGACATTTAGAGGTTTAGAGGTATTGCGGGTTTAGGGTTTAGGGGTTTGGTTCTGGTCGAGCCCCTATACCCATATGTCGCCACCACGACCCTTCAATCCTAACACCTATCCCCCCGACGCCCTAAATGAAACCTTAAACCTCCTGTAGGATAGGGTTTAAGGTTTATGGTTTAGGGTTTAGGGTTCAGGGTTTAGGTGTAGGTTGCCCGAGAGTCGTGTAAAGGGGTTTAGTAGCAGTCAGAGCCTACAAGAAAAGAGGGTTGTAGGGTTCTTCTGGTACCCTAAACCCACCCTAAACCCACCCTAAACCCTAACTAAGCCCTATACCCTACACCCTAAACCCTAAACCCCAAACCCTAAACCCTAAACCCTGCAACAAGCACAATCGGCAAGGACCGGCCTCGAGCCCACCATCGTCACCTACGGGGCCGCGGCCACAGCCGCGGAGCGACCACGATGCTGGCAACGAACGCTTGACCTCCTGGAGGAGGCCTTAAGGGGGGCTTTTTAAGGGGGTTAGCATATGCCCCGCAAGAAGACCCGACACCCTAAACCCTAAACCCTAAACCCTAAACCCTAAACCCCATGAGGCGAAAGACCAGAAGTTGCAGCTGAACGTGGTGACGGCCGGCGTGGCAATCAGCGCATGCGAGGCGTCCTTTCGGGTGTGCGATGTGTTTGTAGGGTTTATAGGGTTCGTAGGGTTTTAGGGTTTAGGGTTTATAGGGTTTATAGGGTTTGTAGGGTTTATAGGGTTTGTAGGGTTCATAGGATTTGTAGGGCTAAGAGGGTGTACAGGGTTTATAGGGTTTAGATTTTGCAGGTTTTAACGGGTTTAGGGGGTTTAGAGGGTTTCTAGGGTTTGTAGGGTTTATCGGGCTTATCGGGTTTATAGGCTTTATAGGGTTTATAGGGTTTGGGGGGCTTATGCTTATGCTTCAGGCTTCAGGGCTTTGGGGGCTTCGAAGGGCTTTGGGATTTAGGGTTGATAGGCCTTAAGGGTTTAGACCTTCTTGGAGTCTTGGAGGTTCATGGTACTTAAATGAACCCACTTACAATTCTACTTATAACCCTGCCATAACCCTAGTAGGGCACTGAAGGGGCCTATAAGTGGCTTATAGCTGCACATGCCATTGGGTTAGAAGTAGCCTGAGACCCAAAGTGGGGTCTAAATCGGGTTTAGGGTTCCTGAGATCCCTCTGATGTCAAAAGCCCAGAATTCCGAACTCTACACCCCGAAGTGCCCCTCCCCCCAAAAAAAATCAAAAAAAACTATGTATATATATATATATACATATATATATATATGTATAGAAATAGTAAAAGCCTGAGTCCTGGCTTTAACCCCGACACCCTAAACCTTACAAGCTCTCTGGACTTAAAAGGGCTGAAGGTTTCAGGTTTTACTGTAAAGCTGTTCTTTCGGTGGAGGGTTTAGGGTTAGACTATTTGAGATGTGGGGCTTAAGAGTTTGAACGTGTAGGTGTTAGGTGTTATATAGGAGGTGTCAGAGCACCATGGACCCTAAACCCTAAACCCTAAACCCTAAACCCTAAACCCTAAAACACAGCCGCGACGGCCGTACCACACGTCCTCCAGGCCAGGAGCCTCATATCCAAACCCCCAAGCCCCCGAAAGCCGCACGATTCAACAGATTCTGGGCTTTGGAGTACTATACGTTAATACTTTTTTTGGTTTTGGGTTCCCGTTATAGCTACTTATACCTAAAAAGTATTTTTTCTGGGTCGACTCCAGAGGTAGGGAAGAGCGGTTGGGGCGGAGGGGGGGGAGGGTGGGATGCTAGGGGGCGGGAGTTGTGTCCAGGAGGTTTCTTTGTGGTACTTTACTGTAACTTTAGATCCTTACCTTCTTTGGTTTTTTATTAAGGCAGCTAAAAGTTTAATTTATAGCTACCCTCCTGAGTGCAGCCAAGGTTTTTGTGTGGGGTTTCCTGGTTTAGGGTGCCGCTTTATTCGGTGAGAAATTCGCAGGCCGAGTCGGGCTGGCAGCAGGTCATCCATCTCCTGGAAGGCGGGTGCCTAAAGCTCCGGGCTTAGGGTTTACGGCCTAGGTAGAACGGTTTTGGGTGTCCCTGGTTTAGGGTTTAGGGTTACTCTAGGAACTTAACGGCTTTGGGTGTCACTGGTTTAGGGTTTAGGGCTACTCTAGGAACTTAACTTAGTTTCCTTGCAAAGCAGCAACCACAGCCGACCTACAGGCGCAACATGCCGCAACCCTAAGCCTTAAACCCCGAATTCAGCCCCCTAATGACTCCCCCTAAACCCTAAACCCGTTTGAGAAAACCCAAATAAAGCTCTACAGCCCTAAACCCTAAACCCTGAACCCTGAACCCTGAAAACCCTAAACCCTAAGTTCCTCCGCAGGTGGAGAAGCAAGTGGCCTAGAAGGAAGCCTCGTGGCCTACAACGCCTCCATCAGTGCTACTGGGCTTCTTGCGCAGGTGTCTGAGGAGATTGGGTTTAGGGTTTATAAGGTTCAGGGTTGAGGGTTTAGGGTTTCGGGTTTAGGGTTCAGGGTTTAGGGTTGTGCCATGCTTACTCCAGCTCCTGAGTTGTTTTTTGCAGGTTCTTGCTGCTGGGTTCTTCAGACTTTAGGGGTCTAGGGTTCACCCAAACCCTAAGCCCTAAACCCAAACCCTAAACGCCCTCAGGTTTGCGACAAGGCGGGTGCGTGGGCAGATGCAGCGGCTCGGTCGCTGACCTAGGGCGTGGGCCTGGGCCAAGGCTGATTTAACTAGGGTTTGAGGCCGTTTTTGGGTTTAGTGTTTTGGGTTTGATGGCGCGTCCATGTACCTTCACAAACCAAGACCCTAAGCCTACACCTTACGACGTCGGGGCTCAACAAGCTAAACCCTAAACCCTGAATCTTAAGAGCCTGAACCCGAAACCCCCCAGATGTGCCAAAAAAACCTTTGCGGGTTTTCAGGGCGTTGAATTGGGGTTTAGGGCGATTGGGGTTTATGTGTTTCTTAGTTTAAGCCGGGTGTTCTGGGTTTAAGGTTTAGGGCCTGAAGCCCCAAACCGAGCCCTAAGCTTTAGCGCCTGGTGGGTGCAAGGTGGGCCTGCTGTCGACAGCCTGCGCCCGGACTCTCAAGGCGAGACGGAGTCGAGTCCAGGGCGAACACTCTCTGTGCGCGTGCTTCTTTGCTGTCGGTGTGCCTGCTCTTTGCATCTGTTGTATATAAAGTTGTTCCCAATGCTATTTGATTTGGTTGTCGTATGTACATATATATATATATATGTACATGTATATTTATATATGTGTATATCCAGAAATATGTGTAGACTAAGTAAGCAAAAAGATAGTAAATTCACAGAACATAAACCGAAGTATACAGAATACAAATATAGCGTGTGTGTGTATATATAGATGGTACTGTATATGTATCCATGTCAACTACAAGTCTCTATTGGTATGTTGTAACGATATTCTGCTGTTTGTAGAGAAGCATGGGCTGAAGCCTTAAACTCTAAACGAGAATGGTAATTCCAAGCCCCCCCCCCCCCCCACCCAAGCCCCAAATCCCTCGAAACTCTCCACCCACACGCCTCAAAATCCTCAACATTCTCGAAGCCCTCGAATCCCTCAAAGCCTCAAAGACCCCAAAAGCCCTCAAAGCCTCAAAAGCCCTGAAAGCCCTGAAAGCCCTGCAAGCCCTGAAAGCCCTGAAAGCCCTCAAAGCCCTGAAAGCCCTGAAAGCCCTCAAAGCCCTCAAAGCCCTCAAAGCCCTCAAAGCCCTCAAAGCCCTCAAAGCCCCAACCCTTCAAAGCCCCCTTGGATAGTCCTCAACCTCGAAAACCCCCGAGCCAAGAGGCGGATCGCATCACCTTCACGTCCGCCCATGGGTCTGCGGGACGCCGGCAGAACCCCGGCTGCTGTTAAGGAGCGTATGTTTGTTTTTTTTTGTGGGGTGGCGGGTTTAGGGTCTAGGGTTTTGGGTGGAGGGTTTAGAGTTGCGGGTGGAGGGTGTAGGGTTTAAGGTTTGGGGTTTTGGGGGGAGCTTCTGCTTTTTGAGTTCAGGAACTTGTGTGTTGTTTGGTGTTGAGTGATATTGGTTTGGGATTGGAGCTTGAAGTTAGTTACCATGATAAGGATTTTGTCCCCCACCTTCGGTGTGGGGTTGTTAGATTTTAAACTCAACTCTTCTCCTCGCCCGGAACTCTTTTCCTCGCCCGGTCTACTCCTAGAGACTCCCTGGAGTGCCCAACCCCAGAGACTCCCTGGAGTGCCCAGCCCCCGAGACCTGCTTTGGAGTGCCCAACCCAGACACTCCTGGAGTGCCCAACTGCAGAGTTTTGCTGGTTTGCCCAACCCCAGAGACTCCCTGTGGAGTGCCCCATTTCAGAGTCTACCTGGAGTGCCCAACCCCACCCTGAAATGCCCAACCCAGTCCGAATCCTTCAGGTGGGGATGTTCGAAGTAAAATAATTCGATTGCTGGTGCTTCACACTAGATATGTACCCTGCACCGGGAATTGTACAAGAAAACCACGTGCCTAGAATACTAAGGTACGTAGATCATGCCCTAAGCCCTAAACCCTATACACCCCAAACCCGAAAGCCCGGTAGCTTAAACCCTAAACCCTGAACCCTAAACCGTAAACCCTAAACCCTAAACCCTAAACCCTAAACCCTAAACCCTAAGGCCCCTGAGTTCGGGTTCCTGAAGCAGAAGCCCAGGAATTGGCTTGTGGCGTCACGGCTGCTGGATCAGCTTGGGCCACCTGGCTTGGAGGTTTTGTGGGGCGGCCTCACCGCTTCTTCAGTTTAGGGTTTAGGGTTTAGGGTTTAGGGTTTAGGGTTTAGAGTCTAGATTCTAGGGTTAGAAGGGTTTAGGGGTTGGGGCTTTAGGACTTAAGTGATTAAGGTTCGGGGGCCTTTAGGACTTGTGGCTTTGGGGGGGTTTCGGGACTTAAGGGTTTAGGGCATTGGGGTTTGAGGACTCTCAACACTCTAAACCCCAAACCTGCTCAACCTACACAGCCTGCACCTCCCCCACGAAGCCCATCACAAGTCCTTCCCTCAAAGTCCCTAAACCCTAAGCCCCAAAAGCCCTGAAAGCCCTAAACGCTCTAACACTCCTAAAATCCCTAGAAGCCCTAAACGCCCTAAAAGCCCGACAAGTCCTAAAAAGCTCGAAAAGCCCTAGAAGGATCAGGGGCATACGGCCGAGCGCCTTCTCCTACACCGCGGCCATGCCTGGCAGCAGTTGGCCCCAGGCTGTGGGCATGCCCTAAAAGAAATCCGTGGTTTAGGATCTGGGGTTTAGCGTTTAGGGTTTAGGGTTTAGGGTTTAGGGTTTAGGGTTTAGGGTTTACCTTAACCCTAAAGGGTCTAAGTTAAGGTTTGTAGGGTTTATGGGGGTTCAGGGGTAATTTCGGGCTTAGCACGCTTATATAGGGCTTTCTGGGCAGTTTTGGGCTTATAGGGCTTGGGGCTCAATTCTGCCTAACGGGGTTTAGGGTTTCGGGTTTAGGGTTTGTGGTTTGGGATGGGGGGGGGTGGGTGGGTTGTGGAATTGTCCCTCCGAGGCTCTAAAAGCTTTTGTTTGATTGTTTTCTGTTTGAAGTGTTTTGGGGTTTCTGGTTTTAAGGCTTTAAGGGGTTTAAGGGCTTGAAGCCTCTTAAGGGGTTTCAGGACCCTGAACCACTCAACCCCACACCCCAAAACCCTACGGCCCTAGACCCTAAAACCTGAACCCTCAACTCCCTCCAAAATCCCCTAACCCTCGACCCTAACCCCTAAACCCTAAACCCTAAACCCTCGACCCTAAACCCTAAACCCTAAACCCTAAACCCTAAACCCTAAACCCTAAACCCTAAACCCTAAACCCTAAACCCTAAACCCTAAACCCTAAACCCTAAACCCTAAACCCTAAACCCTAAACCTCAACCAGGCTGCGAGGTGGCTGGCGCAGGCGCGCAAGGCGCAGCCTTCGGAGGTGCCTTGCGCGACTTGCTTCCCATTTAGGGTCAAAATACCCTACCCTAAGGCTCCAAGGACTTGGGATGTTACCCCGTATACAAAGAGTCCTTCATAGGGATTACAGTACCCCCGATGATAATCGCTATTCAGGACTGTTCGTATGAGGGGGAACATCCCAACCAAGGACTCATATTTCAAGGTTTTTAGGGCCCAGTCAGGGTGTAGGGCTTACCTTAAGAACCTCCAAAAGGTGTTTACAATAAACCCCCTTGTAGAAGTCTTAGGTAACCTACAAGAAAAAGGCAGGCTTTGGGTTCTTAAGGAAAATCCACACCCCTAAACCCCGTGACCCTGCACCCGGAATGCTGAAGAGAGCTGCGCCTCATCGCATGAAGCACAAGCGAGGTAGGGTGTTTCGTTTCGGGCCCCAGAGCCCCGGCGCTTGGGGTTTGAAGTGTTTGGGTTTTTTGGGTGCCGGGGGGGGGGGGGGGGGGGGGGGGGGGGTTACCCGGAACCCTAAACCCCGGATTCTCCGTGGCCCTTACGCCCCTGACAACCAATCCCTAAACCCTAAATCCTAAACCCTAAACCAAAGCTACATCCTCAACCCTACTCGTTGAATCCCGACACCTGGGCCAGGGCCTACAGAAGCCCCGCCCCCCAGCCACACCCGGCTGTTTTATGAGCCCAGAAAGTCAACATGTCTAACTAGTGCCCTAAACCCGAAGCCCTAAACGTTTGAAATGCGCGAATTGGCTGCCCTGTATAATTGATGGAGTGGATCATATGTGCACGGGGATGTAGGTAGATTCCCTATTCCCCCAAGAGGAACTAGTACGGGTAGATGCCTTGTGGTTCGTGACTTACAACCCCCGAAACTATAGGCCCTAAACACTAAACACTAAACCCTAAACCCTAAACCCTAAGCCCTAAGCAGGTCGCCCTGTCCTTCGCGGCTGCCCGGGCCTGCGAAGCGGGATCGGCCTGGCGACCGACGCTGCAGATCCTGGGATCGACGGGGCCGAGTTGGGGGGGGGGGGGGGGGGAGGTTAGGGCTGTTAGGGTTTAGGGTTGTTAGGGTTTAGGGTTTAGGGCTAGGGTTTAGGGTTTGGGGTTTACTTGGGTTTAGGGTTCTGGGGTTGAGGGTTAAAGTTGAGGGTTCAAGCCCTAAACCCATCCCCAAGCTCTGTCTAAGACCCAGCTGTCATCCTCCCTAAAGTTCCCAAAGGCTTCTGAATCTTTAATCTTAAACGGTAAACCCTAAACCACAAACCTTAAGCCCTACACCCTAAGAAAAGGTTGAGGGTTCAAGAGTCTACAGGTTTAGGTTTTAGGGCTGCGCGTTTAGGTAACCCTAAACGTGCTCTTTGTGGGCTTATAAGAGCTGCTCTTATAAGCCCAGTAGAGTTTGCAAGCCTTCGTGAGAGCTCGGGCTTAAGGTTTAGAGTTTACCTTCGGGACGGAGGTGTTTAGGGTCGCAGAGGTCAGGTAATACCTAGAACGCCGTGGATGAGGTTAGGGGTTTGCCAAAAGGCAGGTCAGTGTACCTAATGAAAAGGGTCAGTCAGGATACCCAATAGTTTGAAACGGAGAAGATTTAGGTTCAGTTAAAGTTTTGGTTGTGCCTGGCGCAGGCTCTAGTCACTGTTACCCATTCGGAAGACTCCTGTAGCCCCAAACCCGAAACCATAAACCCTAAACTTTAAACATGAGATGCTGGTCGGCCAAGGATACTGGATGAGCTCGCCGCTTTCTGGTTGCAGTGGGCAAGTGTCCCCGAGCCCCTACATCCCAAAACCTAAGCCTTAGAAGCCACTTTGTGCTTTGTACTGTTGATTGTGGCTTTGGTGCTTTGGGTGGCGTGTAGTGCGTACAAGCTTGAGCCTGAACACCCAAGTCCGTTGAGCCTGGTAAGGGGCTTAACGCTTAAAGTGTTACTGTACGAAGTTCAGGGAAGGCTCAGTTTTATTTGCTTCAGGGCTTAGGATTTTGTGGCTCGTATCATGCACTGTGCAGTCACCGATATAGTGGTTATAGTCCATTTTGGTGCCGTGAAAAAATTACGGTACTTTGTGGGCCCAACTTTCCTTGGCCAGATTTTCCGGATGACGCAAGGCTCTAACCGCAAACTCATCCTTGCCCGAGACCCTTTCAACCCTAAACCCTATAAACCTTGTAAACCCTAAACCCTAAACCCTAAACCCTGAAGCCGCGGTTCCCACCCAACCAGCCAAAGTCGGAGTCGGCCTTGTAGAGCATTAGTATGGGTTTTGGAGTACTGTGCTTTAATACATTTTCTTGGTTCTGGGTTCCTATTTTAGATACTTTTACCTACAAAGTGTATACTCTTTTTTCCAGGGTCTACTCCAAAGTAGGGTGCTGCTGCCCAAAACCCTACGAATGAGTCTCCATGAGGTTCAAGCAGATGGCTTGTACTGATCCATGAGTTCCCAAGTTAGGGTTTAGGGATTAGGGTTTAGGGTGATTACTCCCTATACTAACAGTCCTTAGTAGGGATTAGAAAAGGGGGCGCGAAAATCCCTATGAATGACTAAAAAAAGGAGAACATCCCAAGATTAGGGTTCAGGGTTCAGAGTTTTGGATGTAGGGTTTAGGCCTTGGGGGCATAACCAAAGGTTTAGGAAATCTAGCCTTGATGCCCAAGGCCCTGAACCGAAACGGGTTTAGGGTTAGGGTTTGGGGTTTAGGGTTTAGGGTTTAGGGTTGAGGGTTGAGGGTTTAGGGTTTAGGGTTTAGGTTTTAGGGTTTAGGGCTTAGGGTTTAGGGTTTAGGGTTTAGGGTTTAGGCTTAGCAGTACTAAGGCCCGACCGACAGCCAGCCTCTGCATGATGGCCCTCAGCTCCTGCGCCAAGTCCAACCACTGGGAGGCGCAAGCCCTAAGCCCCAAACCCGACACCCCAAACCCTAAACCCTAAACCCCAAACCCTAAACCCTGAACCCTAAACCCTGAACTCTAAACCCCAAACCCCAAACCCCAAAGCCTAGGGTTTAGGGATGTTTTTTTTTTAGAGGGACTTGTCTTGTATCCTAACATCCTGGCACGTCATAGCACTTAGAACCCAACCTAGCTACCCTTCCTGTGGCTTAGGTTGCAAGTCCTTTGACTGAAGTTTGTGCTTTTGAGAAGCCCGTTTCCGTGAAGAGCCCCAAATAACTTCAAAACTCTGCAAAGATCGCAGCTGAACATTGCGGGTTCGGGATTTAGGCAAGTTCTGCAGTAGTTGTAAGTACGTTCGTAAGGGCGTAGTAAAGGTCCTAAACCCAATGCCCTGAACCACAACCGACCCTACTTAGCGTAGGGTTCAGGGTTCAGGGTTCAGGGTTCAGGATTCAGGGTTCAGGGTTCAGGGTTCAGGGTTCAGGGTTTGGGGTTTAGGTTTAGGGTTTAGGGTTTAGGGTTTAGGGTTTAGGGCTTAGGGTTTAGGGTTTAGGGTTTAGGGTTTAGTGCTCTAGGGCCTCTAGGGGGAACCTTGAGGCAGCCCTCTTCCTGCTCGGCCACATGGCTTCACAGCAGCTGCCCCGGGACACCGCTGCCTACAACTCGGTCTTGAGTCCTGGACGCATGGGAGCCCACGTGGAGGTTGGTACTTAGTGACCCACATATTAGGGTTTAGGGTTTCGGGTTTAGAGTTTAGGGTTCAGTGTTTAGGGTTCAACCCAAGTATACGTGAAGAAATAACCCGCTTATAGGGCCCCTTAAGTACCCTAATAGGGTGAAAACGGGGTTATCAGTCGTGGGCGCTCACATGACAACCAGCTCCCTAGGAGTATGTGAAGTAGGCTTCAAACAGGGTTTCGAAGAGTAGGAGAGCTCGAACATATAGACCCCGCAGATAGTGGCAATCCCTTATGTTCTGGACCTACGTAAAGATGGCGCCTGTGGTTTTGGGTGACGGAGTGGAACCCAGCTCGCCCAAAGAACACTCAAGTAATTTGGGTAACCAGTGTAATTCCTAAATACCCTCATATGGGCCGCAGAGGATCTCAATTGGGTGGTAACCCTAAACCCTAAACCCTAAACCCTAAACCCTACACCCTACAGGAGCGCGTGCGAGTCCTCAACGCAGTGGCCCCTGGCCTTGCGCCTGCTCCATGAGCTCCACATGCAGCCCACCAAGCCTGATGTCATCTCCTTCAGCCCCCCGGCATGCATCAGAGGTTTAGGGTTTAGGGTTTAGGGTTTAGGGTTTAGGGTTTAGGGTTGATGGGTTCATTCCGTGGGCTTTTTGGCTCATTGAAGACATTCCCGTCAGAAGGAAAGGACAGCCCAACAAGAACCCTAAGCCTCATAAACCCCAAAGCGATCGAAGCAAATACGCCCCAAAAAGCACTTCGTCAAATGACTTCGGGACTGCGTAGGGAACCTTCAACCTGTTTGGTTATAAGTGTAAGGAATCCTACCATGTATATACAATGTTAACCGCTTTTGGGCGAGGGTATTCAGCCCTAAGAAGAGCGTTTCGTCAGTTTAGTTGTTCAAGAAACATTCCTCGCCTCATGTTAGGATCCCAGCTGCATTTCATGTGGCAGGCCAAGGGAAATCTCATAGGTGCATTTCACAAGAGACATCTGTAGGCGCTCCCCGACATACGCCCGTGAAATTCCGAAACCCCTAGAGCCGTGAGCCTGAAGCTGTTGCATATATCGTGGACGCAAGCCCTCTAAGACCCCTGTAAGCCCAACAAGCCTATAAAGTCTGAAGCCGAATCAAAGCCTCATAAAGCGAAACCCTAAACCCTGCTTGTCACCCCATTAGGGTACCTCAAACCCTGATAAGTGGGTTATTAACTACACTTATAGTTGGGTTACTAAGTACACTTTTTCATGGTACTTTGTAACCCAATTATAACCCCACAAGGGCACCTAAGGGGCGCTTAAGTGGGTTATAAGTACACTTTATCGTTGGGCTACTAAGTACCCTGAACCTCCTAGTTCCCCTAGGCTCTGCCATCAGCGCTTGCGGTGCGGCATGGAGGTGGCTCTTGGCACTTCAGCTCCTGCGCGAGGCCCCTGGTTTAGGGTTTAGGGTTTAGGGTTTAGGGTTTAGGGTTTAGGGTGGCTCTTAGCACTTCAGCTCCTGCGCGAGGCCCCTGCGAGCCGGGTGGAGCCCAACGCCATCACCTACGGCACAGCCATGAGCGCGTGTGACAGGTCATTTGGCGACCAGGAAACTCCAATTAACCCCTAAATCCTAAACCCTAAACCCGAAACCCTCAATGCTCCAACCTCGGGCTTGAAAACAAACACAAGGACTCAAGTATTGTTGTTTTCCTGGTTCTTAGGGTTTAGGGCTCTCAGCCTAAACCCGAAACCCTAAACCCTAAACCCTGAGGTCTCTGGAGTGGCGCCAGTCGTTGCAGTTACTCGAGGATGCCCAGAACTCCTCGCTGGAGCTGGATGTCGTCATGCTCAACGCCGCCATCAGCTCTTGTGAGAACCTTCTTCGTAGCCCAGTGGTGCCCTTTATCCTTTTTTTCTTCGGGCTAGGGTTTAGGGTGTCAGGTTTAGGGTTTAGGGTTTAGGGTGTAGGGTTTAGGGTTTAGGGGTACCCAGTGCCCCTTTTTTTGGGGGGCTCAAGGTTCCCTTATAGATTCGCCAGAAAAAGGGTGCCCTCATGACAACATGGTTTCTGGGCTACCAGGCCTTGGGGGCACGAAGTGATTCACAAGGTTTTTTTTTAGGGTTTAGGGTGCGGGGCCCCTGTATGTTTATGTACAGATGTATGTATATATATATATATGTATGTATGTATGTATGTATGTATGTACACGTTTATATACACATGTTTACATACCTTAGTTTGGATTGAAAGGGTCTGTAGTATTCGAGCCCAAGGAAGGTGTCGTGGTGGCGACAGGCAGTGCAGCTGCTCGAGGAAGTGAGACGAAGGGACATGCAGCCAAGCCAGATCACCTTCCATGCGACGCTGAGCTCCTGCGCAACTCGGACACAGAGTAGGGCCCCTATTCCCTTTATTTAGGGTTTAGGGTTTAGGGCGTAGGGTTTAGGGTTTAGGGGTTTGGGGTTTGGGGTTTAGGGTTTAGGGTTTAGGGCTGCTTGAACACACATCGGTATCCTGTTTCTGTTGGTTGAGGGTTTAGTGAAATTTCAGGGTTCAGGTCCGGGGAAAGATTTGGGGAGGTTCGTTTAGGCCTTTTGAAAAAATTCAAGTTGCAGGGGCTGTTTCTCTCGTGCTGGTCTGAGGGTTGAGGGTTTAGGGTTGGGTATAGTTCCCTTTATACATGCTGCAGTATACCCCTTTATGCATGTTTTGAAGGGAGGTCCCCCTTTTTCTTCGTGGCAGCTCAGGAAAAATCCTCTGCCTGGACCCAGAGCATCTGTCTGCTGGGGCAACTCCAATCCCACAGCTCACAAGTGACTTGGTTAGGGAGTAGCCGTATTCTGGGTTGAGTAAGTAGGGTTCTGGGGTTAAGTTTCGGGAGGTTCATGAGTGCGAATGACTTCGGATGTCTGCGTTTATGACTTGGAGCATGTATTCTTCGCCTGAGACCTAGTCAGGTGAAGAAAACAAGTCACAGGAGCTCTTCCTTGATTCAAGAACCTCACCAGCGCTGAACAGGGTTTAGGGTTTATGCTTCTAACCCTAAAGCCTAGACCCTAAACCCCAAGCCCCAGAACAAAGAAGGCAAAGCAAACCCTAAACCCCAAAACCCTAAACCCCGAACCCCTAAACCCCAAACCCAAGCCCTAACCCAAACCCAGGCAAGCTTGATCTCGTGCACTTCTGCCATCGGCGCCTGCGCGAAGGCGTCGCAATGGCAGAAGTCACTGCAGTTGCTGGAGGCGATGGAGGCGTGATTTTAAGGTGTTTAGGGGTTGAGGGTATTAGGGTATTTGGGGTATGTTGGGGGTTTCGGGGTTTAGGGGTTTAGGGTCTTAGGGATAGTTTTCTTTGGGATTAGAGTTTTCTGGTCTTAGCTTGCGCAGCGCATATGCTTCAAGTGCCTGTCTGTGTCCTCACGGACAATTCTGCCTTGGTTACCAGCTTTGTTGCTGACCAGCCCCCGGGTGATCTCGGGGCATACTGGGCGATGATCCGCCATCTGCTGCCTGTGGGCTCGTCTTTGCACTGGGTTCCGGCTCACGGCCGCCGCAGCACATGGACATCCGGAATTCCCTTGGTCTCCACCCAGGAGGCCCGTGACTTGAATGCACGCGCAGACCTATCTGCATGTTCTGCAACTGAGCCGATGAAGGCCACCTTTGCTGCTGCCCAGCTTGCATGCAAGACCGCCTTTGACTGGGCCAGCCTGTCCGTGGAGCGACAAGAGCGCTTGACGCAAGACTGGCATGACTCTGTTGCGGCGCGGGCCAAGGCCATCGGCCGGCTACGCGATATGTGAACGCCTTGACCGGCTGTTATCCCACCTTCGGGGCAGGGTGCAGCCACGCCATACACATACACATACACATTAGAGTTTTAAGATTGGTGTCTGGTGTTTGCTTGGGGTTGAAGGGCTTATAGGGCCTATGAACCCTTAACCCTAGACCTTCAACCCTAGTGAAACGCTACCCTAAGCCTTAAACCCTGAACCCTATAAACCCTATACCCTAAACCCTAAACCCCTAAATCACCCTAAACCCTAAACCCTTACAAACTCTTGACAACCCCCTGACCCCTGGCGTTCCGCGGAGGCGGACAGGGTGGACGCCGACGCGAGCACCTTTGCGGCAGCGCTCGCTGCAGGAAACTCGGATTTGGAGTGTTTCTGTGTGTTTAGGGTATTGGGTTTGGGGTTTAGGGTTTAGGGTTTAGGGTTTAGGGTTCAGGGCTAGGGTTTAGGGTTCAGAGTTTCGGGTTTCGGTTTCAGTGTTTAGGGTTTCGGTTTCAGGGCTCAGGGCTTACGGTTTTTAAGGTTCAGCCAAGCCGTCTTCCGTTAGAGCCAAGGACAAGGGATGATGCGCAACCAGACAGCGCAGCTCCTGCAGAGTCTGAGCGAGACTGCCAGCGGCTTCCTGCAGGATGCAAAAAGCGGCAGTGGCACAGAGAGAGACCGACAGCAGCCAGCCCTAAACCCTCAGCCCTAAACCCTAAACCCTAAACCCTAAACCCTAAAACCTAAACCCTAAACCCCAACAGGGAGAGGGAGAGGGAGAGGGAGAGAGAGAGAGAGAGAGACTTGAGCCCTCAACTCCAAAACTCTAGACTCTAAACCCCCGCCCTGAACCCCGAACCTACTCAATTTATCACACCCTCTTAGGGCTCAGGGTTTAGGTTTAAGGTTTAAGGTTTAGGGTTTAGGGTTTAGGGTTTAGGGTTTAGGGTTTAGGGATACGAGGCCCCGGTTTTGCAGGGCTGCGCTTCCACACTTCAGCCTCCGAGGCACAGATGACCGGATCGAAGGTCGAGCCGAATGGTTATACACTCAGCACCTTGGCAGACCGCTGAACTCACAGCCCTGGTTTGGGACCCGCAACCCTGGTTTAGGGTTTAGGGTTTAGGGTGTGTATACACCCGAAGCCCTGAACCCTCAGCCCTAGACCCTAAGCCCTGAAACTTAAGCCCGAAACCCTAAACTCCTCAACTCTGAGCCCCAAACCATCCCACAACTTTAATTCTGGCTAGGGGGTTTGGGGTTTGGGGCTTCACCCAGAACCCGAGTGGGCCCCGCTGTTCCCTTGTTTCGGCTTGGGGGGTGTACTTGGAGGATCAGGATACTGATAATTATCCCAATCATAAGTGTAGTTTTCGGCCACTTATCTAAGACCTTGAAGCACGGGTTATGTTTGGCTTAGAACTACAGTTATAACTAGGTTACTATCCACTTTGAACCTCCAAGTAGGGTTTCTGTCAACTTCTTCGTTCGCCGATGTTAGGCAGGTTCGAGATTTTCAAGACAAGGCATGCGGTCGGGTTTTAGGGTTTAGGAGGGTTCAGGGTTTAGGGTCTAGGGCCAAGGATTCATTGTTTAGTTGTTCTGCTCTGGTGGGCTTGTTTTTGTTTGAACCATTTCGGTCTGATAAGTGTAGCTATAACCCATTCATGAGCCCTTTAAGTACCCCAAGAGGGTTACTAACCTTCGCGCCACCCAGACTCGATGATCTGCGCGCAGCAAGCGCCTGGGCGCTGGCAACGTGCGGTGGAGCTTCTGGAGGACGCGAGCTCAAAGTCCCGGAGCAGGGTTTAGGGTTTAGGGTTTGGGGTTAAGGGGTTGCGGATTAGGGGGTTTAGGGGGTTTAGGGGGTTTAGGGGGTTTAGGGGGTTTAGGGGGTTTAGGGGGTTTAGGGGGTTTAGGGGGTTTAGGGGGTTTAGGGGGTTTAGGACCCTAGCAGACAAACGGCAGGAATACAAGGGCCCTTGTTCATACATCCCTACTATATACCTGTGGTACGCCTGCCATATATCTGCTCTATTCCTGAACCCTATCCCCAAAGCCACTCTGCACTGACGCCTTGCTCGGAAGCTAGAGCGGGGTTGGCAGGGTTAAAGGCACCCGAAACCCTAAACCCTAAACCCCTCAACCTTAAACCCTAAACCCTCAACCTTAAACCCTAAACCCTCAACCTTAAACCCTAAACCCTAAACCCTCAACCTTAAACCCTAAACCCTCAACCCTCAACCTGAAACCCTAACCCCTCGTCTAGGGTTTAGGGTCGGAAGTCGGGCCTTGTGGCTTGGGGTAATAGGAAAGGAGTTTTTGTTGGGTCCTTAAGGGCAGGGGGGGCTTCATGGCGGGTAGGTATTCAGGGACCCTTAGGGAAGCTTAGGGAGCCTTAGGGAAAGCTGTGGGGAGACTTGAGGAACTGGTGGTTATATACCCCGCCCCTGAACCCCTCCCTTTTGGCCCACATTAGTGTTGGGTTAAAGGAACCCTAAACCCTAAACCCTAAACCCTAAACCCTAAACCCTAAACCCTAAACCCTAAACCCTAAACCCTAAACCCTAAACCCTAAACCCTAAACCCTAAACCCTAAACCCTAAACCCTAACCCCAAGCCCTAAACCCTAAACCCTAAACCCCATGGAGGAGATGCAGGAGTGCTTGGTGGTCGATCCCGACGATCAAGGCAAGCCCCACAACCTGAAACCCTAGGGTTTGGGGTTTTGGGGTTTTGGGTTTTAAACCCTAAACCCTAAACCCTAAACCCTAAACCCTAAACCCTAAACCCTATAAACCCTATAAACCCTGAAACCCTAATTCAGGGTAGGGCTCTCAAGTCATGCAGCCGAGTCCAAAGTACCAGCGAAAGCTGAAGATACCCTACATCCGCAATCCCTCGACTCGTGAACCTCAGGCATATTTAGTCTGACACTCCAATGCCCGTAAATTGGGTTTAGGGTCTTAGGGTTAAGGATAAACCCTAAACCCTAAACCCTAAACCCTAAACCCTAAACCCTGATTTAGGGTTTAGGGTTAGATATCCGGCTGGTCACCGCTATTTTATGGCTAGATGCCTGTAAGCACGATGTTGGGGTTGGGTTCGCTCTCCAGCTTTTCCTGTGGGGAGGGTTCAGGGCTTAGGGTTTGGGGTGGTTTAGGGTTTAGGGTTTAGGGTTTAGGGTTTAGGGTTTAGGGTCGAGGGTCTAGGGTTTAGGGTTTAGGGTTTAGGGTTTAGAGTTGAGGGGTTGACTGAATTGGAGAACTCAAGAGCCGGTGAGTCGATGCGGATCAACATGCAACTCTTGGTTCTTTGCGTAGTTCCATGGTCCCTTAGTGTGGGCCCTTGAACTTCAACGCGGACCTCTTATATACCCCATACTTCAGAACGCTTTAAAGGGGGCTATAGTAAGGGACGATGAAACTACCCTCAGATGGTTTCAGTCTGTTCCTTCCGGCGGCCAGGTCCGTCGCAAGGACACGTGCTCTACCTCATGGAGTGGGTTTAGGCTTCAGGGTTTAGGGTTTACGGTTTAGGGTTCAGGGTTTAGGGATGAGCATTGTGGCAGCTGCCTCAAGCAGATGGTGGCCGACATCTGAGATCCGCGGATGCTTGTGCACAAACTCACGCCTGCCATCTCCGACCTCGGCGGCCAACACCAAGTTCTGCTCTTACTCCATACAAGAGATGGGATGGCAGCTCTTATCAAGGGTTTAGGGTTTAGGGTTTTGGGTTTTGGGTTTAGGGTTTAGGGTTTCATATGCAAACCCTCAGCAGACCAGCATAACCAACATGATGTCGTTTAAAGGGGCCCTCTAGATTTATGGGACATGAATTGAACTGTCGAAATCAAGCCCCAAAGCCTACACCCTAAACCCTAAAACCTAAACCCTAAAACCCTAAACCCACAACCTAAACCCTAAACCCGAAACCCTAAACCCAAAGCTCCTGAGTGTTCGAACCCTTAACCTGTGGTCCCCAGGCAATGCGACAAAGACGGTGATTGACATCCTCTTCCATTGCCAGCAGCAGGCAGCACACTAGAACCCGAGTAGGCCCTACGGTTTAGGGTTTTAGGGTTTAGGGCTGCTAGAGCCCGGAGGAGGCCCTAATTCACTATTTTTCGGGTTTAGCCCGGAGTAGGCCGCCTCCAAAAAGGGCACCCTTTTCATTCGGGTTCCGCTTGGGCTAGTACAGGTAGAGGGCTTTTGTCGGGTGCTCTTTTGGCGTTCCGCTAAGCTCTAGAAACCCCGATACCCTGAACCTTTGCTCTGCAAATCACAGCACCAGTGCCTTTTTTGCATGTCGTGAGGGCCGAGCTGCCAACAATGCGTAGCTGCTGTGAGTATTCCTCTCCTATGTTCTGCCTTAAAAGGGTAACGTAGAATTATTATCTTTTGCTTTATTGGGGGGGTTCTTAGGCACATAGTGGTTCATGGGAGACTCCCTAGCATAACTCTCCTGGGTCTTCAACTACCTACTTTTCCCGTGGATAAAGAATGGCTATGGGGGGCAAGGGCTAGAGTAATTTCACGGCTTCTACCCTCCTACTTCGTGTCAAGTAGGCCTCGCACCATCAAGCCGAGCCCTTAAGCACCTGAAGCATGGGTTTAGGGTTTAGGGTTTAGGGTTTAGGGTTTAGGGTTTAGGGGTTAGGGGTTAGGGGTTAGGGGTTAGGGGCATGGATCCTCGGGAACAAAATCCGTAGGGGTGATTTGGGGAGGGAGGGGAGTTTAGGGTTGAGGCTTTAGGGTACTGTAGGGTTTGGGGCACGGGATGCTACTTCGAAACCGGCCCACGGCGCACCAGCAGCCCGAAAGCCCTGCTCTTTCTCGGACAGGAAGCCGCCCATCAGCTCTTTCGGCAGGCAGGGATTTAAGGTTTAGGGTTTTAGGGTTTTAGGGTATTTTAGGATATTTTAGGGTAGTTTAGGGTCGGTATTTTAGGGTATTTTAGGGTGCAGGTGTCATAGCGTTAGCCAACCGGTAGAAAAAGAAGTACCCTTATGACATTGTCGTTAAGACATCGTTAAGGGTCATCGGGCCTTTGGTTGCATCGGGGTGGTCTAGGCATTGTAGGATCCGACGATGGCTTGGGGACCAAGATGCCCTGAAGCCGCCAATCCTGAGGCTTCGCGCTTTTGGTCTCTTGGGCAGTGCCAAAACTATGGTAGCCCCAGAAGGGTATGCTCTTTGTTCCTAGGTCTCTTTGGGACCTAAAGCACGATCCGTTCAACCCGAACTCCTAAATCCTAAGTCCTAAATCCTAGACCCGAAGCACCCTAATTCCTTCACACCACACACCCTAAACCTCGACTTGGGGTTTGGGTTTAGTTAGGGTTACTGTTTAGGGTTTAGGCTTTAGATGGGTAGTTCGAGCGCGCTTAGAAGATCGACTAAGTAGTTACCCTCCCTCCTTTTCGCCCAGTAGCCCTAAACCCTAAACCCTAAACCCTAAACGCTAAACCCTAAACCCTAACTGCCCATGCAATTACCCCCTAAACGCCCTGCTGCCTAGGCCGTGGCAGATGGACGTCTGGAAGCAGACGGCGCACCAAAAAGAAACCTCATGAGGGCCCAAGCCCTAAACCCTAAACCCTAAACCCTAAACCCTAAACCCTAAACTTTTACAGAGGAAGTGTGCCCCAAGAGTCGGGTAGGGGGATGCTACAGATACTCTTGGTTTAGGGTTTAGACCAGAAGGGAACCGTACCTCAACTAGACCTGCCTATGTGCAGGTAAAGGCTAATCCCTAAAAAGTCGATCCGCCTCGCCCCAGCATATTTGGAGGAGCGGATGAGCCCAACATCGAAAACCCTTGGTTTAGTTCAGGGCTTCGGGGTTTTTTGTAGGGTCTAAACCCTAAACCCTACAACCCTAAACCCTCTGAGGTTCAGGCTTTCAGGTAAGCCGTAATCCCTTCTTGGGGCTTATATGACTACGCTGACCTGGGTTTGGAGTACTATACATTTAGTTTTTGGTTCTGGGTTCCGGTTATCGCTACTTATGCCTAAAACGTATGTCCTTGTTTTCCAGGGTCTACTCCAAGTAGCGATACACTTGATTCATACCCTCAACCCTAAACCCCAAATCCCAAACCCAAAACCCTAATTAAACCCTAAACCCTACCTTAAGAACCCCAAACCTACTGTTCTGAACCTCCAAGTAGTGCTTGGAGGGCGCGGCGCCATGCAGAGACCCGAAAAGGCGGCTTTAGTCGGGCAGGGGCAGTTGAAGCCTTTAAGCCCTGAGCCCTGCAGGCTCTAAATACTGCCTAGGGTGTAGGGTTTAGGGTTTAGGTGGTAGGGTTGAGGGTTTGGGTATTAGGGTTTGGGGTATAGGACTTGGCGGCCCGGCTTGCTTTCAACAGCGTGTGGCCAGGGCATGTGCCGTGCAGACGTCAGCCTAAGCCCAGTCACAAGTACCCTTTGTCATAGTTGGGTAACATTTTACATTTTTAAGGGTACTTAAATCCAATAAGGAATAAAAATTTTAATTTTTAATATTATCCCCACAATGAACTAGTACCTGGAACACCAAGTAATTACCCGTGAATAAGGGTTTAGGCTTTATAGGCTTTAGGGTTAAGGGCCTCAATGTGGGGCTTACCTACATTATCTTATGCACTTTGTAACCAGCGAGGGGCCTGCCTGAATTAAGTGTTGTTTTTGCTTTTTTTTGAACCTTAGACCCTAAACCCCAAACCTTAAACCCAAAACTCAAGATCAGCACAGTGTTGGCCCATGGTCGCTGCGCCTCTTCATGCGAGTTTGTCTCCAGCGAAGCTCCAGACCACGATCGACACTTGGTTTGTGGGTTGTTCCGTGCTTAAACCCTAAACCCCATACCCCAAACCCCAAACCCCAAACCCTAAACCCTAAACCCTAAACCTGAAACCCTAAACCCTAACCCTAAACCCTAAACCCTAAGCCTTAGTTTTTGGTAGGGCTCTTCAAGCCCAGGATTACAACAAGCGCATCACTGCCTGCAAGTCTGGCCAGAAATGGCAGACAGTACCTCGGTCGGCCCGAGTTACATGAGAGATTATGTTTCGTTGTAGGGTTTAGGGTTTAGGGTTTAGGGTTTAGGGTTTAGGGTTTAGGGTTTAGGGTTTAGGGTTTAGGGTTTAGGGTTTAGGGTTTAGGGTTTAGGGTTTAGGGTTCTGAAGGGAGGGGGGTTCAGGGGCAGGGTATGTAACCCAAGGTTCCCTAATTCTCCCCACTACACCCGAAGGCCCCCCGAGCTTCTCTGAGGTTCCCTAGGCACCTACCCCCCATGAACCGCCCTAAACCCTAAACCCTAAACCCTAAACCCTAAACCCTAAACCCTAAACCTTAAACCCTAAACCCTTCGGGACCCTATAAATTGCGTATCACATCGTGCGTTGTTGCATTGTATTTTCGTGTTTTTTCATGAGAGGACCACACGCAGGAGTGGCCCTCCTCACCCTAAACCCTCAATCCCAAAATCCTAAAAGGGTACTTCCACACGCAGGAGTGACCCCTCCTCACCCTAAACCCTAAACCCTAAAATCCTAAATAGGGTACTTCGCTTGTCTTTGGCCAATTGAGGCGCTGGCACTCCTGGACGAGCTCCTCGCGTGTCGCCATCGGCCAAGCGTGGTCTCCTACAACGCAACCATCAGCGTCGCGCGGCTTAGGTTTTAGGGTTTAAGGGCTCCGAAACATTTGCCCGAAGATTTATAAGGGTTGAGGGTTCATGGTCTAGGGTTAGAAGCAGGCTGCAATAGCATAGTATAGTACAAGAGTAGAAGTCGTGGGATCATGCAAGAGTGTAGTTCTCCAGGCAGCCTGACAAGAACTTACTTCGCAAATTCATAAACTTTGCTGGGCTTCCTTGCTTAGTTTGTAGGAAAATTCAGGCTTTATGTTTTTGTTTATTATTATTCCTTGGCGATTGGAGACTTACCTTCTTCAAAGGGTTCTGAAGTATGGGCCCTTGGGTTGTATGGGGTATATAAGGGGTACATAAGGAGTCCCAATTTCAGGGGCCCATATTAAGGGAGCATGAAACTACCCTAAGACAAAGGGACCTTGGGGTGTAGTTAAGGGGGTATTCAGGGGCTACCTAGGTATATAGGGACTATATGGGGTTAAGTGTCCCTTCTGGAAACCCCTCCTGGTCCCTGAACCCTAAACCCTAAACCCTAAACCCTAAACCCTAAACCCTAAAACCTAAACCCTAAACCCTAAACCCTAAACCCTAAACCCTAAACCCTAAACCCTTCAAGGGCCCATACTAAGGGACCATGAAACTACGCACCCTTAAGAACTTGAAACCCTAAACCCTAAACCCTAAACCCTAAACCCTAAACCCTAAACCCTAAACCCTAAACCCTAAACCCTAAACCGAGTGTGGCTCGGACCGAGGTGTGCGAGGGATGCTCCTTGTGGGCGCTGGCCGTGGATGTCTTGAAGGACATGGAGACTTTGCTGGTTTAAACCCTAAAAAACAGACCCTAAACCCAAAAACCCTGAGCCCTGAAGCCCTTTAGGTTTTCGGGTTGCGGCCTCGGTTTCTCGTTTGTTGCTTTGCTTCCCAGCTTGCCCAAAGAGCTTCGAACAGCCCTGCAAGCGCTCGCTCCCAGCCTCTTGACCCGAAAAATCCTAACCTCTAACCCCTTATAAACCCTAAACCCTAAACCCCAAACTCGCCCCATACCCTAAACCCTAAACCCTAAACCCTAAACCCTAAACCCTCTACCCTCTAACCCCTAAACCCAATTCAGGAGCCTCGGAAGCCTGCCTCTCTTCCTAAGGACGGCAGGAGGCTTTCTCCCAACATTATCACCTACAGCTGCGTGGGCTGCGAACATCTGAAGGGTTTAGGGTTTAGGGTTTAGGGTTTAGGGTTTAGGGTTTAGGGTTTAGGGTTTAGGGTTTAGGGTTTAGGGTTTAGGGTTTAGGGTTTAGGGTTTAGGGTTTAGGGTTCAGAGAGGCTTCATAGGGTTTAGGGTGCAAACCCCATAAGCTCTAACAACCACAGTAGGGCTGTAGGGAACAGGCTTTTCGGGGTTGCGGGCTTTGGGTCTACCAGGTTTGAATGAAGGGGTGGGGGTCCGTCTAGGGCTGGTTTAAGCTAAACCCTTACCCCGAAACCGCAAGGGTTAAGGCTTGAGCTTGCAGGTTGTAAAGGCTCTAGAGGAATCGGGGTTCAGGCTCAGGGTTCTTACTTGGGCCTGCAGGTTGTAGAGGCTCTAGAGGAATCGGGGTTCAGGTGTGGTCCTTACCTGGGGAGGGCGGCAGGTCTACACCAGGTCAGGTCGGCGTGCACGCTGGTTTATGCGTGCGGCAGCTCAGGTGATGGGTCCTTTATGGCTCGTCAGTTTGGTAAAGGGGGCCACTGCCTGAACTACCCCCGCCTGAGATTCTTTTTCTTTGGAACCCTCAACCCTTCTTCCGCATCCGCCTAAACCCTAAACCCCAAACCCCAATTCCTCAACCCTAAACCCTAAACCCTAAACCCTAAACCCTAAACCTCCACAAAGATGCGCCGAACCCTGCATATAAGGTACGTGCATCAGTGCCTGTGGACGAGCGGCCCAGTGGCAGCAGGACCCTAGCGGAACTTGTAGGGGCATGCGGCTCAGGGTGTTTCGGGCTGGGGGGGTTCGATGGGGATAGGCTTCAGGGTAAGCCCTGAACTCAACACGCCTACCAGCTCATCCGATTTGCGCAGGCATTGTGGCTGATGGGGTGTCTGGGCGATCGCGGACTACAAGCAGATCTCATTTTGCTCCTTGCCTGCGTCACACCCTGTGGTGTGGGGTTTCGTGCTCGGGTTTGGGGTTTAGGGTTTCAGAGGGTTAACAGGAGGTAAAAGGGCCTCCTCAAAAAAGGACAGCATTTTATGCACGGGGGGGGGGGGGGGGGGGGGGGGGGGGGGCAGAGCGGATTTCTTGCGGATTTCTGCTTTGAAATTTCATCGTCATTGATCAGAAGAGCTGCCCCGAACACCCTGCCAGCATGCAAACACGCCAGAGTCGCGAAAGAGTCCGCGCATGGCAGGCTGAGGCTTCACAGGATTACGCTCAAGAGAGAAGCAGCTTGTAGCGTTATCTACTCATCATGAACGAAGAATTTGTAGCGGCTGGCTTGACAAGCTAGCTGTATCGTCAGATCGGGCTTGTGTGACGAATGCGTGGCTTCCCGCATCATTTGCTGGTGAAGCTTTTATGGTGGCCGATTTCTGTTCAACGTGGCTCGGATGGAGAATGCGTCTCAGGCGGTTGTAAATGCCAGCGGATTTTGCCGCGGATTTTCAGCGGATTTTTCTTAAAGGCGTTTGTTGTCTTCACAAAAATCCCCGCAAAATCCCCGTCAAAATCCCCGCAATGTTCTGAGCTGCGCCAACAGCCTCACCACAAGAAATCCCCGCACTCTGCAGCCCGAAATTTTGGCCCGTCAATGGCAAATTGCGGGCATGACGAATCTGCCTTATCTGCTGTGACTTTTCTGGTCTATGCAAAAGTTTTGGCAGAGCAAAGCATTGCTGATGGTTTTGTTTGTTTGCTCTCAGCATTTGGCCTCCATGGGGGGTTTGTTTGGGCACAGGTGTGCCCATTACCGGGGCTCACATCTGCAGGTGTATCAGCTTGCCTGAGTCTGAAAACTGACCCTCATGCATGCAACCAAAGCGACATTGCAACATAAAACAATCATGAAATAAATCCCCGCAGAGCGCCTGCAAGAGCATTAGCCCCAAGCTTTTGGGCCGCCTAAACTCCAAGAGCTCGATAGAGTTTGTTACCCTGAAACCCCTAAACCCTAAACCCTAAACCCCTAAAGGATCCCTAAAACCCTAAACCCCCTAAACCCTAGAAGCCCTAAATCCCTGAGCCTTGCTACTGCCAGGTACAACGCCAGCTCCTGGGTCGCAAAGCAATGGGGCTGAGCTGTTTAGGGTTTGGGGTTTAGGGTTTAGGGATTTAGGGTTTAGGGTTTCGGGTTTAGGATTAGGGGTTTAGGGTTTAGGGTTTAGGGTTTAGGGTTTAGGGTTTAGGATCAGGGTTTCGGGTTTAGGTTGGGGTTCTTGGCGAAGGGTTTCTTGAGTTTGGGGTTCGGGGTCTTTGGGCTTAGGTCATCAGCGTTTAGATTCACGCTTTCATTGTCAGCGAGTGTTCTGACCTTCCTACCCATCATTAAACTGAGGTTGATTTGGACTTAGAATTATCGCTCGACCCTAATCCCCAAACCCTAAACCCTGCTTTTTTGATTCGAAGCGTTCATAAGGAACCAAACGCTGTCATAAAGCCACCTCCCCCCCCCCCCCCAAAAAAAAAAAAAAATAGATAAAATCACTAATCTAAAAAGATGAATAGGGCCATTTGGGTGACGCTGGGCCTAGGAACATGCTCTGAGTTCCAGATGTGTTTGCTCCCGGAGCCCACTTGAGTTCGAATCCCATGGGCCACAAAGCTGAATTCACTTTTTTGATGAGAACCTCCCACCCTGCCTTCTTGAAGGCTACCTAAGGGTCTATCCCGAGTCCTGAACCCTAAACCCCTTAGATGAGTTTCATGTGTTTTGTGGGTCTTAGCATAAAGCTGAAGACCTGCACCCTCTAAACTCCAATTTCTAAACCCCGAATCCCAAGCCCTTAACCCCAAACCCTCAACCCTACGCGGGCCCCCCAAAAGGGCTCAAATGGTTTCCGCCCATCGCAGGCATCACTGCCTGCGAAAAGGCAGGCAGATGGCTGGAAGCGCGCAGGTCGTGGACTGAGGGGGTTGGCTTCATGGGGATCATGGGGTCTAAGGGCGTGGTGATTAGGGGTTAGGAGTTTGTTGCTTGAAGGGTTTAGGGTTATATTTGGGGTTTTCAGGGCAAAAAGATTCAGTTGTTTGAGGGTTTTGGGTACTTGGGGTTTTGGGGCTTAGGGTGTTTGTTGCTTGCCACGCGCTGCCGATGGACCGCCTGTTGGCACAGTCTGCAGGCACTCACCGAACGTTGGGTCTTTGTGGGGTTCAGGGTTTAGGGTTTAGGGTTTAGGGTTTAGGGTTTAGCGTTTAGGGTTTAGGGTTTAGGGTTTAGGGTTTAGGGTTTAGGGCTCGGATGCCCCTCTGGGTCTGAGGGAGGGTGTGTGTGGTGTATATGGTGGTGCATATACCTCAACATGATCTGCTGGGTAACCAGCTCATGCCAAGAACGTTCTGGGTGCCCGGATGGACTTGGACTCAGTGCTGCATAGGCTTTGATGCGGAGTAGTCGCGAACTGTCTTCTCGATCAGTGTTAGGGATCCTTTTTACTTTTTGGGTTATGGGCTTTCTTATATATGAACAAAAAGGATCCTTTTTTCTTCCTAGGGGAACAGGGATTAAGTCTTGAAAGGAGGGTCTGCGAAGGTAGTGTTGCTTTACCGGCGCAATTTCCAAACACGGTGACT